GAGACCCCAAAGAAGAGTATCGTCGCACTGTCGTCTCTTTGCCAGCTCAATGGGAAGCCTCGAGCAACAGGTATGTTGACTTCGTCAGTCAACTGGTGTCAGGTCGTCCATGTTCTATTTCGATCGAGGAATGGGGTCGTTTGTTCTTGGGCTTAAAGGTGAAAGACCGGGTGACAGTCGTGAGCTGACGAGTGGCACCAAGTGTGGCTTGAATAGAGATGGCCCGTGCATACAAGTACACAAGCCACATCTTGGCAATTGCGCCACACGGATCTACCCCGCGAAACCAGCGTCATTGTCTCCATCTCACCGCCCCGCTGATCACAGACCAAAGATCGAGAGACTCAAGTTCAAAGAGGGAGATATTCGACAGAGATATTCGGAGGAAAAGAATAAAGGACAGTACTAGAATACACTAGAGTATTCTCGAGGTTCTCTTCAATGCCATCAGAACGAGATAGTCTGAATAGAAAGCACCAGTCAAGCCAGAAGCAGGTTGTGGTCCCACCCGAGTTGAGGCCCTGCGTCACTATCTCCGGAACCAGCTGATCGAACCTTCTACAACCACTGGCACCACCGGCCCAGCACGAGACCTCCAGTCAGATACAACCATTTGACTGCACCCTCACTTCCAAGAGCCTCGACAATCTCTACCACTCAAATCTCACCTTTCACAAACGAACCTCTTTACGATTCCATTGAACGACGATACGTTGTTTCATACCCTACCTGCTTTGTTGACTTACACATTGGCAGTTTTCTGTCTGAGCGAATCCTCACGTCACTGCAGGCTTTATTAAGCAACAAGAGCTGCAGGCTCACCTCTCTGCATCCGGCCATCCACCTGAACCACTTCTCTCCATTGCATCTTTCGAGGTAACTCGTCTGCAACAGCAACAAGCAAAATGGTGGCGGAAACAAAGCTCTACGACCAGCTTAGCATCAAGCCTGATGCTACGCAGGATGAGATCAAGAAGGCGTACCGGTAAGTTGCATGTCTTGCTTCATTGTGTCAATTGTTCTCCTGGCGATATAGGATCAAGATGCTAACCACTCTCTGTGTAGAAAAGCTGCCTTGAAGTACCATCCCGATAAGAATAAGGATAACCCCGACGCTGCCGAGAAGTTCAAGGAGTGCTCGCAAGCATACGAAATTCTCTCGGACCCAGAGAAGCGGAAGGTCTACGACCAGTTCGGCCTCGAATACATACTGCGCGGAGGACAAGCCGCGCCCGAGGGCGGCGCCAACCCCTACGCTAACTTCGCCGGGGCTGGCGGCGGCATGCCCGGAGGCTTCAGCGGATTCGACTTCGGAGGCATGCCCCAGGGCGGCGGCACGCGCACCTTCCACTTCAGCACAAACGGCGGCGCCGGCGGATTCAACTTCAGCAACCCCGAGTCGATATTCTCCGAGTTCATGCGGTCGAGCGGCGGCGGAGGAGGCGGCGCGGACGACTTTGCCGACATCTTCTCTAGCTTCGGCGGCGGTGGTGCCGGTGCGAGGACCTCCGGCGGTGCCCGTCCGCGCATGCGCACCTCGTTCCCACCTGATGGCGGCGCTACTAGGAGTGCGCGGCAGCCCACACCCGAGGTCACCACTGTCGAGCGGCCGCTACCCCTCGCGCTGGAGGATCTCTTCCACGGCGTGACCAAGAAGATGAAAATCAAGCGCAAGATGTTCGACGAGTCTGGCAAGCGGACCACGACCGATACCGTGCTGGAGGTCCCTATCAAGCCTGGTCTGAAGAAGGGAAGCAAGATCCGCTTCAAGGGCGTCGGCGACCAAGAGGAGGGAGGACAGCAGGACCTGGTGTTTATCGTTGAGGAGGTAAGTCAGCTAGAATTCACCGCTCCCGTCAGTGAGACATCTGCTAATACTCTATTAGAAACCCCACCCTATGTACGTCCGCGAGGGCGACGACATCGTCCACACCGTCGAACTCGATCTCAAGGAGGCGTTGTGCGGCTGGAATCGCACCGTCACCACGATCGACGGCAAGAATGTCTCTGTCGGCAAGTCGATCCCGACGCAACCCGGAAGCGAGGACAGGTTCCCGGGGCTGGGCATGCCCATCTCGAAGAAGCCTGGCTCGCGCGGTGACTTTGTTGTCAAGTACAAGGTCAAGTTCCCGACGACCCTGACCGCCGCACAGAAGCAGACCCTTCAGGAGATCCTATGAGCTGGGGTTAGGAGTTAGTTGAGGACGTTGCTTGAGCATATCATTGGGGCGGCGTTATTGGCGTTTTGTTGTTGATGGATATTTGTCATGGCGGCTTGGGTGCGTTTGCCTGAGCTGAGGTACGGCTTTCTGCTTGTTCGAGAGAAAAGTCCGCGAAGGTCATGATGTCACCGACTCTTACTAGGTTGACCATAGAGTAATAGAGATGATTCTCATGACATATATCCTCTAGACCTTTTTTTACTTCCTGTGATATGACTCCTTGTAACATGATGTCGTATTGGCGATGCTCTCTCTTGATAGATTGCCGTGGAAGAGACCCTGTGACGGACGCTGCTGCCTTCACTTTCTGATCCGGAATCCATATAAAACTGCAAAGTGACAGCTGCGGTAGTTTGCTGAGTCACATTCGGGTGCTATTGGGAGAGTCATTCAGTTGCTGCCTCGACTCGTGAATCACTCCAACTTGCAGCTAAAAGTCAACAGGCAAGCAACCCACCCACCCGCGCGAACTACGTCCAACAAAACGGCAGAATAACTAGGCGGTCAGCCCCAAAGTCCCAAGTCTGCAGCAGGAATTTGCAGGAGAAATTTGCAGTGGACAGGTACGCACAGACCAACCACCATTCAGCTTAAATATGTCGTTCCCCCTCCCCATTCTTGGTCGTTCTTTCCTCTTTTTCTTCCCCATCCTGGTGCACGGGCTTTACGTATATCAGGTAAGTTTTCCATCCCCTGGTTCACTCCTTTTGATCAAAAAACAAGAAGCTAATATTCCCTCTTTCTCTCTCTCAAGTGAGGATTCGTCCGAGATTACGTTTTTGCTAGTTGAAAACTACTTTATGACCACTCCTAGTGGACTGCGGTCTGCTAGGGAATTTTTGGCACACACATCCTCTCTTTTTGAGACTTTTTTCACTTTCATTGCTCACGCCTCCTTGCGGGGTGTTGCGACGAAGGGACTGTGACTGTTTGGAAATCGAGACGGTGGAGACGAGTTCTGTCTGGTTGTGAGGGTTGAGAGAAGATGCGGATTCCTCTGTGTTGGCAGTTGGTGTTTTGGCTGGTGACGGCAGTTTTTGGGAATATGGCGAGGGACGACGCGTCGTTTGCCGGCCGTCGCGTGTCTGACGCCAAGATATTCAGCCTGGTTTTGTGCGTTGCTGCAACAATTTCTCAGAGCCAGCTCGTCCCCATCGCCCCGTCTCCCAACCAGATGTGCTTCATTGCCTCACTTCCGCCGCAGCGGGTGCCCTTGGTCTAGACTTAACAGATGGCTGGCGCCTGCGTATTCTCGTGTTTCCTGCTCCCTGGAATGAAACTTCTGCTAGTCAACTCGTGCCCGTTGGGATGTCTGTCTGTTCTAGTGCTGCCTCCGAGACTTCGCTGGAGATTTTGACCTTCCAAGCATCCGTCCGATATCCTTCATGTCGTGCTGCGCCGGATTGCTCCACATCCAACGACATATCAACAAGTCACACACGTATCACCATCACGACCTTGCAACAACCCATGCCATCCTCGCCGTGAGGCCTTGCAGGGTGCTGCTTTAGACCGATATGTGTCAGGCCATGAGCTCCGACTATGTGGCCTCGTGGTTGTCCCTGTCGGCGTGGCATAGGCATCACGGCACGCACCAGGTCGCGTTTGCTCTGCTGTTCACCATGCACCTCCTACCACCTGTCCCATCTGATGGGAAACATCACAAGTCGGCGTCGACCCTCTCCGTCACATTCCCGGTAACGAGAGGAAGCCACATGGGCGCAGAAGCACTGTGTTGATGGTCGTTTGGTTGATATATCTTGTAGGTGGACTTGTAGGGTAGGCGAGCCCAGTGGCCTCATTTAGTTAACTTCTCCTTGGCCGACTGAGAACGGTTGGGCATAATTGGTTGCTGATGCTCAACTTTCTCGGTCGTCCTCTGCGTCATCAGCTATGCGGTTAGGCTCCCACTGTATCGGTTCTCGAGTGGTCGTGTCAGGGGAGCAGAAGGGTGAAGCAGTGCCACTGGGATGCAGGTCCGCTCCTCTACATCATGGTTTTTTGGCCTATCCTGACTGAGTGGTTGTTGCTGGTTGCTGCTGGTTGCTGCTGGGGGACATCGTTAGCTGCGTCTTTCCTCGACAGTTGAGTAGATGGTCACAGGACGGTTGATGAGGCGCTTCAGCTGACTGGCTTGATACATTATCCACTGCACACTTGGTCGAACAAGCTGTTCGATATTCGATATACCCTTCACGTTGCTGAAGAGATTGTCTGCGTTCATTAATGCTTGACTGGTGTCTGAAGGTCTAGTGGCCGTCGTGGTAGGACTGGTGGCTTGTTTCTCAGGACTTCAGCACCGTCCTCTGAGGAGCAAGCGCATCTCCAACCGTCCAGCAGGCTGCTGTTTGCTGCTTTCTTCAATATACGTATTTCCGATTGTGCTATTCAAATGAGTTTCTGGCATATGCGATGATCTTGTATCCCTTTCTGTAGCGTTACGCACATCCAGGAGGTTGATCCGGAGCCAAAGAACAGAAGACTCCTCAGACACTTGGGTAGGGAACCAACAGCCACCTTGGCCATCTATCAGTATCTGAGAGTTTCAGTCACCGCTGTTCTGTTTGTAACCTCAGATACTCTTGGAAGTTGGAAGACGTCTGGTGCGGCAAACCCCATGCTGCAGTGGCCCGCCCCGACCGTCCGTCGTCTTCGCCTCTGACGCCAGAGAGGGAAGGCGCGCCTCACCTGGCAATCACTCCTTCCTTAGTCCTGCGCCCTACCTCTTACCCTGATAAGCCAGATCATCGCTTGTTCCTTCAACAAACAAGCTCAACATCCCGATTGGTGTAGTGGTTAACATTTCGGATTCTCAAGCCTGCCTAACAAGTAACTTGAAGAACCTCCGGAGCCAAGGGTTCGATTCCCTTATCGGGAAATATTTCTTTTTGCTTTTTTCCCCAACCCCGTACTCTGGTATACAGAGGCCTGGCTTTTGTCATCTACTCGATGACATCGACTTTCCATCCCACGCAGATACAAGCACCACGTGGTTCCGCCTGTGGATTGTCTACCGGGTAGCTTGAATCGGAGACAGCGGACGACACCCAGTATACTGAACGGTCCTGTTTACCAGCCACGGCACCTGGTCGGCCTGGGGTGGAGCCGGCAGTCTTCCAAACCTGTTGCAACCCGTACAACACCTACTCTGATGCAATACCCCCTTCACATGCTTCCAATGCCACAGGCCGGCATACAAGATCAGAGAAAGCTACCAGGACGATGAATGAGGAAACCATGGTATCCGAAACTGTCCAGTGACTCACTTGCTTCCAATTCGGCAAGCCAGCAACTCGACGGTCCTGTCCACCTTATACCAGACTCCTCAACCTCCTGTTCGGCGAGGTGCGTCAGTAGACCTTCTGCGGCAACTCCGACTTGACCATCGGAAGAGCACTTGGTTCCATTCCCAAGGCATAATCATGGCCCTAGGCGCAGAAAGTTCTAGGTGTATGATCATGTTAGTATGCACGGGCGACGGCGCGCATGGAGACTGAACGGCCCGAGACATGAGACTGGAAGTGTACACCCCGGGCCGTGCGGTTCAAGACCAGGAGAACCTCGATGCGAATCAATAAAACAGGTGCTACTGAACCCCAGCAAGGGCTGTAAGAGCAAAGGTAGCCTGTTGCAGAGGAGGCGAGTGACGGCACCGATCGCGTCCCAAAAATCGAGTCTGAAGTAAGATATGGCAGTCAACAGCAAGGAGCAAGGAACCATATGCACATGCGGGAACAGAAATCTCGTGGTTAAGGAGCTCCCACGATGGATAGCCATTGCTGACGCCTTGCCAGGTCAGCGTGTCGTTGTCAACCTGGAAGTGTACCGACGGTGCTGACTTTCCTAAGAAAGAGATATTCCAGAACAGTTAAGTCGGTCGCCTACCATCTATCAGTCAGTGAGAAGTGAGCACCTTGGAGTCCTGTAAGCATATGAGGCCACTACGATAAGACGAGGTGAAGTTAAAGGCGAGCTGCTAATAGACAAGGGAACAGATGCCGCACCCAAAAGCTTGTTCTATGCAGATCGCCCTCATTCGGCCAATAACCAGGAGAGGTGAGCACACGGCCATCTCCAATGCTCCCTGTATTCCAAACTTCCACGCATCCATTACCAACTGTTCTCCAAGACCTTGCATGCACCTACTACCACGGGACATGCAATGCTGAGTGGCATTGTAACAGCGTCCGGCATACGGACTGCAAGATTGCAACCCACTCGTGCACCATGGACGAGCGTCAGTCAGCATGTGCTGGGAGCGTTCAACCCGAAGTGTGGTCAGGAGCCCTATATACGCTCCATTGCTCTCCTTCGCTTCGCCTGTGGCTCACCTATTCTAGAAGTCTAGATTGCTACGCTGCCTCTATAGGAATGGGTGTTTCGGGCATGAAAGCATTCAACATGACACGCCTCATACATGTTCTTACCTCAAGTTTTCTGACGACAGATGTAGGATCTTTGTCGTCTCATAGCATCCCCGGCTCAGTCAGCCAATATGTCGTACCGACGGCGTTCCCAACGTCTGTCTACTCGACCTATTACGCTGCGGTGATCTCCCTTGACGTCTAAATGACTGTTATCCTTCAGACTGCATCAACTGACTCAGCCCACGGCGCACTGAAACCTGGGCCTACCGTCGAGCCCCAGCCTTTCATATTCGATCCCGTGCAGAACATGACCTTCCCCCTCAACCTGACAGATACGAACACCATACCGACCGCAGACACGGATCCTCGTCTTTCCGACGCCACTGACCAATCTAAGTACCTCGGATGCCCAGGCGGTCATATCCTCAGCCTTGGCCGAAGTGCTGGACATCATCCACTACAGCAGAAACGTCTCCGGTCTATGAAGCATGTGCTCAAAGTGCGTTGCAGCGCTCTCTGCCGGCCAGCTCGTCGCAAAATTGTCTCCCACACACTTGCCCGATGCCCTCGTCACGTTATGTAAGGCAACCCGGTTTGCCTCGAATGCCACGTGCGAGGCCACTTATGAAGCGAGCACCATTGGGGCGGTATGGACACAGATTATGGCCAAGGTAGTTGTTACCGGTGTTGACGGACGATACATGTTCGCCTTTCTGAGCGGTACTTTTTGTCCAGAACCGACCGTGATTCCTGTGAAAGCAAAGTTCCCTAAGCAAAGGCCGGGAAACATTACGAAGCCCAGTCGGAGCGGGAAGCGAGTCAAGGTTCTTCATCTCTCTGATCTTCATCTTGGTAAGCAACGTCTTTTGCGTCCTTATTCTGCTATGAACTTATTACTGACAAATGGCTTCGAAGATCCTGTACGTAATGGGAAGACTCTAGGTTTATCGTCGTGACCTTGCAAAGCAGCTGCAAAACTGGCTCGCTTTGACAGCGATAACCCAACCCCACCGACTTCTTTCTACCAGATCGTCGAGCGGTACAGCCCGCACGTCATCCGCAAAGTCTTCTCTGGGACCACACCCACGAGGACCAGACGCTCATATACTACAGCCAGAACGGCACGAACCAGACCGGCGAAAACGCCGTTGCTTCTGCGTCGGTCGGCCCGTCGCTGGCGCCGCTGACGAACCTGAACAGCGGCTACCGCCTTCTACGAGGTCGACACGGGAAGCTGGGAGGTCTTCGAGGCGGTTACCTTTTATTCCGACGTCAACTCTTTTTCGTCTCTCGAGGGGACGGGGCCTACCTTTGAGTTGGAGTACTCTATCCGTGCCGCGTACGGGAGTGCAGCCTCGTGGCCTGACGACGAGCCCGTGAACACGACGTTTGGCACAGGGTCACCGAGGCGATGGAGAAGGACCGGTCTCTGGTCAGGATGTTCAATACGTTCCAGAGCAAGAGCAGCGTCCTCACGCCTAGCTGTGATAGCGAGGCATGTGCCATTGCCAAGGTCTGCTATATACGGAGCGGCAGCCTGGCACTGGGGAGGCAGTGTCCTCAGGGGTTCGATAGCACGCAGAGTCCGTATACCGGGAAGGTGTTTTAGGCTTTTGTTGTATGTCGGCCTTATACAAAGTGTCTTGATATATGTAGCACATTCTCTATCGCATGCCGAAGCGCGGGTTGTTCCTCCTCCTAAGCAGTTCCAAACACCGTAACGACCCCAGACGTGCCGCCCACGCAGAACTGGTCCCCGTATCCGCCTTCTTTCCAGTCAATGCAACTGACCACATTCTTGCGCTCCTTCTCCTTGCCGTCCCTCCCCAGCACCCTCTTCCTGCTCTCTACACCCCCGGGGCCCCACGGCACACGCAGCGTAGCCACAGTCTTACCGCTCAACAAATCCCACGCCCACACCTTCCCATCAACCTCCCCTTCCTCCCCGGCCGCCGTAAGCTCATCTCCGGTGACAACATACCTCTCCTTCCCTCCCAACACGCTCTGCACCCGTAGCTCCTCGTTCCGCCACCCGTCATCGCCGTACGTCTTCAGGCACGTCCCCTGCTCCCGGTCCATAAGCCGCATCTTACTGTCCAAACTGCCCACCAACATCGTCCTCCCGTCCCTCGACAGGCACAAGCTCGTCACGCTCGCGCCGACCACGTCCGTCACCACCCGGCCCATCCGCACGTCGTACCCCCTCACCCTTCCATCCACGCTCCCGGCGACGATCTCGCTGTCCCGCACCACCAGCGCGGCAACACTATCTTTCGCCTCCGTCAGCACCTGCACCGGCTTCGCTCCCCCGGACCCGCCGGACCGGACGTCCCATATCCGGACGGTGGTGTCGAACCCCGCCGTAACGACGAGGCCGTCGTCCTTACCCCCAAAAGAGACGGCGTTGATGCGCCCCGTGTGGCCCGTCGTCCCCGTGCCGGTGAAGCGGCGGATGGTCTGCGCCGTGGTCACGTCCCAGAGGAAGGCGGCACGGTCGCCGCCGGCGCTGACGAAGCGGGCGTTGTCCGACGAGACGGAGAGGGAGAGGACCTCGTGGCCGTGGGCGGAGTAGGTCTGGATCAGGCGGCCTTGGGGGATGGAGTGGGAAGGGGGAGGTTTGCTGGTGGTGATGGATGAGGTAGAAGAGGAAGAAGGGGGAGGTGGGGAGAGGGAGGATGGGTTGTAGAGCCGGACTGCGCGGTCGGAGGAACCTGTTAGGATGTAAGTTCCTGGCGAGGCGGAGTAGGATACTGCGTGGATTGGGCCTGGAAGGGGGTTGTTAGTGTGTGTGATATGGGGTGGAGAAGTGGTGCAAGTGAGACGGACCGGTTGAACCCAGCAGTTGGGCTATGGGCTTGTCTGGAAAGGACATCTTGGTGTTGGATATACCAGATCCATCGTCCTGCAGCCTTTTATGAGTAATGCATGGATTTATTGCAAACCTGTTCTCTCACTTCCTCCATTCGTCTTCATTAAAGGGAGTATGAATCTGAGCATGAGTGTTGAAGATGTGAGGTCGATATTGGCATTCTTGTCCTCCAATCACGTCACCCGTATTTCGGGACGGGTGGAGCAAGATCGTGTTGCGCACGGACTTTTAATCTATTTGGATCCGGCCTGCCGGCTCGATCCGGCTTTTGGCTGGCCGCCAACCTTTTCTCAACGTCAGCCGTCCTTTCTGGTGAGACGACACAAAAGCACGGGATTGTGAGAGTTTACAGCTATTTCTGGCTAGGTCTAAGAATGAATGTGCTACGGTTCACTAATCTGCCAATAGACGTCTAGATGACTGAGGCGCTACGCTACACTCTGATCCTGCCATTGGGATCCGATCTGTCTACACAACCATTGGTTCCCCTCGGTGCGACATGTCACTTTATCGCTCGGTACTCAGGAGCAAGTCATCCTTCTGGTCCTACTCACCCGACGCCGTCTACCAGTCCTTGACGGGAGTCCCACGTTCCTCAATCGATTGCTCACGCTTCCAATCCTTCACGGGCGTCCCTCGCTT